GGAAAGGAAGCAACGTGACAGGGATAACAAGGCAGTGGAGTTCCATGTCCTACCAACTCACTGCAACTCTGTCACATTCAACAGAACATACACACACACACTACCTTTCCTGAGCTAAGTGCAGTAGACCAATTGTACTTAAGTTGCCCACGGAAAATAGGGGAAAAAAGTCTAGCAAGATTTAATGACTGAAAAATACTGCTGCTTATATATGCTTTTTGCAGTGTTATAAACTTTTTTAATATGGCAGGATATCATCAACATTGCTAACTACTGGGATGATCAAAGCATGCCACCAGCTAACAAGGTACACAAAGAAACCAGGATATCACAAAGTATGAACACCAAATGTAAATCCATTTATTAAAACCCCATTTACTGAATTCTTACTGCATATACAATATCATATCGACTATCAACTACCAAGAAATGGGTCAGGAATGGTTGACTCAGCACAATTATCAGCTTATAGAACAGTATATTAGAAAGTCTACTATACAACTTTCACTTAGATCAAGTAGCACTTGACATTGATACTTCTGACTGTAATCACACTCCATCTAACAAGTCTTACCTTATAATTGCTGGAATTTACCCAAGAAGTGGCCAGTCCATCAACCATTTTATCCAGCATAGTCTGATCATGTTCAAGATCAGCTGACTTCTGTTTATCTGAGAAGTAATCTATCAATTCCTGGCCAACCTGAAGTCTCTTTCCAACATCCTTCTGCAGCACCTGCGATAAGCAGTACTCCATACTGGGCTCCATAGTGTCTTAGAAATACAGCACCAGCAAGAAAGCTAGAGGGCAGTAGGTCTGAAAAATCCCTCTATAAACATACGCAGGAGGTCGCCTCTTTGTTCAATGAAGGTTACTGATGGTCTGGGTTTCAAAGATGCAATTCTGAGAATGGCAACAATGCACCATGTGTGTGTGAACAGCAGCTGGCGGGATATTAAAAGTCCAATTTAAATAACTAGTAATAGATGAAGCAACGAGCTGTGCTGTACTGTTGAGTCTGCAATAATTCCCAATTCAGCAGTCCATTCTGAAAGAAATGAAAAAGAACAGTATTATAGGTTAAATTAAGACTGGAGAAAAAAAGATTGAAAGCGTGTCACAAAATAGGTTATTCATATACAGCTGCAAAGCTGTGATAAGCTGGATACAAGCAGCATTGTTCTATTTTAAGGAATCAGACAAGGTAGGTCAGGACAAAAACCTTTGGTTATTCTTTACAACAGCAGTTACCCATCAGTTCCCTAGAAGTTTTAGTGACAGACAGTAAATCTGGGGCTTAAGTAAGAGCTGATTAGTAATCAATATTACTGCAACTACCACCATCACCATCCACCCACAAAGGTAGAGACAAAATCCTTAAGCAGGTCACCAGGAAAACACATCTGCTTTAAGAAGTGAAAGCAGGAAGAGGTCTGGATCCTGTTTTGACTGTTGGCCTTCAGCAATCAATGCCATCAGCTGGTCAGCAAGATACAGCACTAACACTGGGCTCCAGGAACATAAAATGAGCAGTTTTCAAAAACTAGGTGCTCAAACTGTTTCCAGGCTGAATCCTGTTATATCCCAACTACACATGCCCAGGAAACGGCACTGGCCTAGTGCAATAGTGTAAAAACAGCTCAATCAACAGTGCCTGTGGTGTCCTGAGAACCGAGGCCATACACAAGAAAGACCAGGCCAAACTTTGCTGCCACTTAGAGGCACAGGATCACCTGTGAAGCAAGCTTTTGGCTTATGTATATAAAAACGGCTATATGTCTGGGGTTTGGTTATGTTCCTCAACCTTAGAAACTCTCCTGTCCAAGGACTTCATTAGGGACCCAGCGGCAGCTTTTTTGTCCCTCCATCTGCAGCCAAACAAATCCCTCCAGGCAGCCAGGGAACAGACCCCCAAGCCTGTCCTCCACCCACCCACAGACCAAGGCTCCCAGCATCACCATACTGCTCCCTGAAGCACTCCCTCATCACAGGTTAGCTCTTTTAGGAGGAGATGATAAAAAACCAGAGTGCCTTTTTGTTTCCTGTCTAATAATATCTAAAGCTAGAAATCTGCCCTACTTTTTCCACCAGCATGAGGAAAGCAGGTCAAGCTCAGAGCAAGGGAAGAGGCTGTGGAGCAGACACCTGGTTCAGTAAACAACTGGAAGGAAGCTGGAGGCACAAGTTCACTAATTAGAAGCACTGGGACAGCAAATCTAAATACCCTCTGTTTGAGCAAATAAGGCCTTCACAAAAGTCTTAATAAAACAAAGTGGATCTGACAGCAGATGGGATGCACACAAGAACCCTAGCCTGGAAACAAAAGCACACCTCACACAGCAGACTATTTCAGTTCATTATCTCACCTCCATCCTCCTTGGCCAGACTTACAAACTGCCACATCTTACCAATACCAAACACAGCATCTAGAGGCAGCACAGAGGCTTGAGGTCGTGAGCTTCACTAACCCCCAAGTGCTGCCAGACATATCCCAGCTGCCCGCACTGGCTGCACTGCTTATTCATCAGGCAGGAGTCCCTAGAGAGCAGGTCCGTCTGCTCCAGGCAGCCAGTTGAAATTCCCGCTGGCTGACAGAGATCAAAACTGGTTCTGTACATCCAGGGACTCACCTCAGCCAACTCCCTGGCAAATCCTACCATCAGCCAGAAGGGATTTTGTGTGCCTGCAGACTAAACTCCCTCCTCACCAGCAAAACCTCACCCTCCAGAGCAGCAAGGAAGCATTAGCTGCAACTGCACACAGCACCTAGGGCTTTAAGTTAGTGCCATGACAGCTTACTGCTTGTGACCACTACCCCAACCTGAACTGTCTAAAGAACATACCAAACTTTCACCATTTTGCCTCAAGTCACTTCAAGAGCGATTTTACTTCAATTCTAAAATTGTCAACACCACCCCAATCAATACTCTTAGAAAAACAACTTTCTTTCTAAAAGAGAGACATTGGTTCCAAACTAGAGGAAAGCCATACCTTTTCTTATTGCTGAAGCTACAGTTTCTCACTTGTTTCGGTTTAGCACCAACTCTGAAAGCAGTGCTCTGAGCACTGCTCAACCAAAATGGTTCACGACATGGCTCCAACTACCCATGGCAGCACAGGCAAAAACCAGGGCTGCTTCAAGTGCAGCAGAAGTCTTCCTCTGAGTCTCCCTGTCTGTACCTTTGAATATTGGCCCCTGCCCTGCCCTCTAGCATGGGCTGGTCTTGCTCCTTGCTGAAGGCGCTCCAGTTATGTGAGATGGTACTACACACAGGAGTCTCTAAGCACCTAACAGAAGGCTTTTCAGACAGTAGGGTAGCATTTCACTGGATAGCTTGCTAGCAGAGAGCTACTGGAGAAGGGGCAGGTAAGTGATATTTAGCAGCTACCATGTTCTAGCTGAAGCCTTTCAAGTTAGCTGTGCGATTTACTTCTGGACTCCAGAAGCTGCACACCTGTTCAAAAGGGGACTCTTCTGTTAAACTGGATAGAACATGGTGAAGAAAGTCCCCTAATTGCTTTCAAAATGGAAATGTGGAACTTGCTTAAACTTGAAAATTCAGATTGCAGGAGGGTGTGAATGACTGTTAGTTACCACAGAATAGCCATTTTTTATTAACTTCACACATAGACAAGTCCCAACACATCCAAGAAACCATTAGGTGGCCATACTGCCATGAGAAAGGAACATTCAAAGTTTCAAGTCTTTCTTCTATGTGGTTTTCATTTAAGAGTTTGTAAGTCTGCCTACAAGCACAGAAACAATCTTTTAAGCAAACTAATATAAACAAATTTCTCTGAGTTCCTCATTTTTTAAATATGTGAAGGAAGGCATAGGATAAAAATTATGGTGCACTATAGAACAGATTTGTGTCACAATCTTGAGGATTGTAGCCTAAAGAAGATCCACTATACATTATGGCACCATCACCAAATGCGTACAGGGGAGAAGAGCCAGAAATACCTTTGAATCCTGGGGAAAACAGTAATAGTAAGCCAAGAGGAAAGGCTCAAGGCTGGCTTGCATCTACCAGCCAACAGGTGTTTAAGTTGCACTTTAAAAAAAAAGCTAAAAAAGCTTTTTCCACACGTGTTAGGAAGTCTGTTGAGTCCCCCACTTCCTCACAGGAGGAAGTGGAAAAAATACCACCTGAGAAAAACCAAGACCCAAGCTGACAAAAAAATGAACCTCCCAGGCAATGAAGCATATGGCTGCCATATCCCATCAAGTTTGAAATCAACTGGGCAGATCCTCCCCACATAACAAGCTTTGGAAAACACAAGTCCACAGTCTCAGCCCCGGTGGTCCACTTCCGTTCCTGCAGAATTTAAATGCCATACGTTTCGGGTAGCCAATGTTACAAGATACAAACAATTTAGGACTAGGATTTTGAGTACAACCTCCTCCCACAGAAGCACAGTCATGCAGAAGTCAAAACAACTCAACAGCATGGGCCCTGTGTTTGGAGCTCCTCCTTGAGAAAGGCTGCAAATATAGGCTCTAAAGCAAGGGTTTTCTCCAGTCCTCCTACCAGGCTTGTGGTTTGCACTCAGCAAGACAGGTTAGGCTATGTCTGAAATAACGTCAAGATGTAGACAAGATAATCCAAGAGAAAAAAACTATTCTCCTCACCACCCCAACTCTGTCACTGCAAAAATAAAGTTCCCTCTTTCACTAATAAGCCATCATAACTATGTGCTTAGCCAAAGCCTCTGCCAGTAACACCTAGATTTTCCATCAAGAGCTATCCAACAGAAAGCCACTAAAGAGGTTTAAGTTCAATGCCAGCTTGGAGCTCAAAATGATGAATTTAAAGGAGAACGCTGACAAAGACTGAACAGCCCAAAGTTACTCAGCCTAGATACTACCACCATAACACCATAAAAGCTGGTACAATTCACAGCAAAGCAACTGGCTCAGCATGTAGAATAAGTCAATCCAAACAGTAACAAGGAAATACTTGTTACCTAAGATGCTATGGAAACATTAAACTGGGTACATAAGCCAGTGAACTTTTTTCAGTGCTTAGGAGAACCCCACTGACCCCAGACTAAGTGAAACTGCATTATTTGCAATTCTCAAGTAAGATTTTATCTTAAGGTAACTTTACAGGAAATTTTAAATCTTCTTCCTCTTGCAATGAGGAAGGAAACCTGAAGCATGTAGAGAATGCAATACTACTCTCCTGGGGGCTTGTCTATACTTGGGAGCTCTTCCAACATAGCTATTCAACTTTAAAAATTATGCCCCACTCTCCTCTGCTCTACTCAGGCTGAGTTATCACCTTTGTGATGTTTTACCATCATAGAATAGTTTGGATTGGAAGGGACCTCTACAGGTCATCTAGTCCAACCCCCCTGCAATAAGCAGGGACATCTTCAACTAGATCAGCTTGCTCAGAGCCCAGTCCAACCTGACCTGGAATGTTTCCACGGATGGGGCATCCACCACCAAAAGAGAATGATTTTTTTCTCTTGGATTATCTTGTCTTCCTTATATCTAGTCTATATCTACCCCCCTTTAGTTTAAAACCATTCCCCCTTGTCCTGTCACAACAGGCCCTGCTAAAAAGTCTGTCCCCATCTTTCTTATAAGCCCCCTTTAAGTACTGATAGGCTGCAGTAAGGTCTCCCCGAAGCCTTCTCTTCTCCAGGCTGAACAACCCCAACTCTCTCAGCCTTTCTTCATAGGAGAGGTGTTCCATCCCCCTCATCATTTTTGTGGCCCTCCTCTGGACCTGCTCCAACAGGTCCACATCTTTCTTGAGCTGAGGGCTCCAGAGCTGGACACAGGACTCCAGGTGGGGTCTCCCCAGAGCAGAGCAGAGGGGCAGAATCACCTCCCTCGACCTGCTGGCCACACTGCTTTTGATGCAGTCCAGGATACAGTTGGCCTTCATCTTCATTTGCCAATAAACCAATGCAGTCCACAGCCTCCCCAGTCAACTGCTCTAATACAGCTAACTCGAGACACAAGCTTGCAGATAGACAAAATATTGCTGCCACTCACAATCACTGTAGGCAAGAGCCAGCGCCACTCAATAACCAAGAGTTTCTTGTCACCTTCCTGTACCTACTTCCAGACAGTAAGCTTAATTTGTATACATGACAACACTTCTTTGGTGTCTTTTTTTTTTTTACATGGTTAGCTGTAGCCCAGCAGTTGTAGAAATAACACAGCAACACAGTTGTACCAACAAGCCTCCTTCTTCACAGGTCTCAGGACCTAACTGCATACAAACGTCAGTTTAAAATTAGTTCAAGGTACACCAAACAGACATTTCCTTGAACCTTGACTTTCCACAACAAAGAACTCCTCTCCTCCTTCAGGAGATCTCCACCCTAGCCAAATGTACCGATTTTTCAAGTATAGAAGCTACCAGGCATCAAACCTGCAGTAGTTCACCGCTACCGGAAGGTGGGCAGTGTAAATACTTAACTATTGGGTTTGCCAGCCAAGCCCCCTTGGGCAAGAAGTTCAGAGCACTTAGAACAGCACCTAGAAATCACGTACTGCAAAGACTAAATGGAGATCTCATCAGCAAGGCAGTGTCAAACTGCAGCTCTGCATGAAGGGTGGAAATTCTCAGCCCTCTGTCAACTCGCTCTCCTCTATTTTTGCTTCAATCAGTACAGCTATCCCCTGCCCACAGGGGATTTGGTATCAGGCCTCTATCAAACGTGACACTCACTAAGCACTCAATCAAACCTACTCTTCCCTCGACTGCGAGTAGCAGTGGACAAAGCAGCTGTACTGACAGTCTCTAAGGTCAAAGTATTCTTAGTTGTTCAAACCCTCTGAGAGAACGAAGTAGCAAGTAAAACATTAAGTGTCCTACTTGAAAAAGAAAGCAACAGCTTTCTGGAGCCAAAGAAAGTTTGCAGGAGACACCCACCCAGCAACTGACAGATGGGCTCTCCCTTTTGTTCACCTGTCTCCGTAAGTAGGCAACAACGTTTCTTTAGTGCCCGGGAATACTGCATAATCACTGTGATTGTTTTAAATCAGTAATCAGTGTTGCCTTGTAGTTGAGCCTACACACACACACCCCAAATCCAAAGATGGTATCTTACGATTTCCAGCCTGACAACTCATGCTTTTCTAATTAGCTGACGGGACAGCCCAACAGCGTTGCGCTTATCTCAATGCACTAAGTGTCTCTGACTGCACTTCATGCACAGACTCCTTCCACACACCCTATACAGTAACTTTAACTGTCTTCAGACAGAGTAGCCGCCACACCTCTAGTATCGACCAATACAGCCTTGCTGATAAGCAGAGTACTGCCCATGTGGATGCAGCCTCCTTGCTGGAAGTGTTATTAGGTCTTCAACAGAGGGTTTCTTCCTCCTCCCACTACACCGGCCACACTAAGGGAGCATTTGTAAAACTCCCTACTGTTGTGGGGAGTTCACTCTCAGAACCGCCACGTCTGGCTGAAGGCTTGCTACAACTCTGCTAAATATTAGCTGTTCTTCAAACTTGCTCGGAGTTTATTAAGGGGTTCGTGTTTAAAGTACAGACAGTAACCAGTCTACACCAGGGCACAACTTCACTGCCATGAGGAAAACCGAGGCAGATCTCTAGAATAAAGATGGCTGAAAGATTTCCAGGACTTAAGCTAAACTAAGGCCTTCTAGCCCCACACAATCCTTCTAGGACAGATGCTAGCTGTGAAAATTGCATTACCCTACCCCGGGTAAGATGAGAGATAAGCTTCAGATAACAGGAATTCTTATGCCTCCGCTAAAGGTTTGCATTGGTGCCTCAGTAACTGAACACCTTACACGGAGCTACCGATTTCATCGAGGCATCAATCTTCAAAAAAATCTCCACAGTAATGAAGCTGCAGCAAATCAAGATGACTTGCAGGTCACCTCAATGTGACCCCGATACCCTACACTAATGGAACCACTTTACAGAGTGGGAGTAACCCTTCAAGAGTAGTGTAGAAAATTAGATGAGTTTTAACATCCTTTGTTTTCCTAATACAACCCCTCTCTGAAATTAGTTTGGCTTTAACTTTGTCTGAGACCAAGGACAAATCTCGAATGAGCTTTCAAGGTCTCCCTCCTTTTTAACAGTTTGAGTGCTGAGATGCAGATTAAAATCGTATAATGTTAGGAGCTGCTCTGTGTGACTCCCTCTCGTAGGCATCTCAGTTCATGGTTCCAAGGTATCACACTACAGTTTATTAAGAGCCTACTGGACCACAAGGGGAGGGAGAGAACTATCCTCATGACACTTTACCCTGTGAATAGTACCTATGTTTTGGGTTTGTACGTACAAAAATATCCCTTGTCTCCCTCATTCTAGAGATCTAACCTTACCTTACAGCCTGTAGACTCCAGCTCTGACACCTGCGGGACCCTGGCCAGCAAACTATACAGCACTGGCTCTCTATGACTTCCAGCTCTGCAAGGTGTCAGAGCCAAGGGTGCACAAGGTCCCCTGAGGGGCTGTGATGCTGCATCCCAGAAGAATCAGGGTGGTATCCTGCCTCCTTCCTACTGCAACTATGAGCGCAGGACAAAGCTTTCCAGAGTCACATCCTAACCTTCTCCTCCACAATCCACATTCATCTGGAAAAACATGGGAAGAAAAGGAAAAGAAGATACTTTCACCTGTAGCCTCACATGGATAAAACGCTTAGCAAGGTGTGGAAGTAGAACACTACTGAGAACTAGAGCAGGGTGGCCCATCACTTGCCAGATCACTAGCAGGATGAGTGGCTTCACAGCACACATCTGAATCTTCTAATCTCTATTTGTATTGCAATAGATGAAGTCCCTTAGGCTAAGATCACTAATTTAGTGAGTCCTGAAGATGGAAAGCATCTCTTAATGCACGTCAGTTGAAGAAAAAGGTGGGAGAATATCAAGAACCTCCTATTTTACAGGCAGGAATAGGGTAGAAATTCAGTGCCTTTCCCAAAGCCACTGCAAAGCAAGTCGCCAGTGGGAACTGATAGCAAGATAACACCTTGGGGGGAAAAAAAAAAACAACAAACATACCACCACATGCTAGTAGAAGATCAGGATAATCTAGTTTTAAAGGGATCAGTGGGTTTGATATAAATTCCATACTCAACAAATCCTCCAGTACCTTGTTATCCCTCAAGATGTATAACTGGTTAGTGACACAGAATAGGTAAGTTTTTGTGTACAAATCCAAGCCAGAACTACCCTGGAAGCAAGTACTTGAGAGACAAGTGCTAGTAGTAAAATGACAAATTGGAATGGAAAATTAATACACAAGATCATACCTTGGGTACAAGCCCTCAAGGGACACCAAGTGTTCAACTAAGCACCTTTCAGTAAGATTTCTTCCCTCTGCACCCCACATTGTCTAATACACATGTGTGTTTTTGAGAAAACAATCTTAACAAAATGTGTGTGATATGGGAGTAAAGAAGGGAAAAAAACACTCCATGCAGTCTACACCTCAAATAAGTTCATTCACAGAAGAAACTCAGACAGGTAAGCAGATACTACAGCCACAGACAAAAGCACCTCCAACTCTAAGACAATGACTTACATGCATACTTGTGACAACAAGTCATGCCAAGATGCTGCTGATATGAAAACCAGACACCCAACACTGAACAAGGCAGGAACTCAGGTAGGAGCCTATAATAGACTGGCTATGGGATGCAAGAGCAGCAGTTTGTAAGTCAACAGTTTTGGAAAAAGTTTATTTTCTTGGTCTCTCTTCAGGCCTCCCAGCTAACGTCCATCTCTTCCTCCCTGTGACTCTAAACACAAACCTGTCTGTATGACAAAACGGGGCTCTTTGCCTACCCCTATCCTCCAGGGCTGCCAGCCTTCATGGAAAACTGTCGGCCAAGGACAGGAGAACTCCCAGCAGCAGCTGGAGTTCAACTGCTGACAGGGGCCAACAGAAAGCACCTAATCAGCACCTAGGACCAGTTCAGCTCCAGGGAGGGGAAGGAGGGTTACCCTCTGTGCTCAGGCATAAGCAGATTCTATTCAGCCTGGAATTTGCAACTGCACATAAGCAGATGGCTGAAGAAATCCCCCAACACAGGCAGCAAGGGATTGCAGAAAGCCACCACTATGCTTAAGATTTATAAAACAGTGGGCAGAGGGAGCACAGGACAATGAGGAGCAGAAAGTGGTTTTGTTTCACAATACCATGAATTGGGCTAGTGGCAGTTAAGAGACTGCTAGGCTAAGAAACCACCTGCAATGTAACAGAGAGACATACCTGCGACTCCTCTCTTCTGCTCAGCATCACCTTGAACACAGGTCAGAATCTGACCCATTTTGATCAGATCTTTGCCTCAGTAAATCATTGTTGGTTGGATGTGGCTTTCTGAAATACCTTGGAATCTAAAGCATATATAAGCAAAGTGTAAAGAGAGGGCCCCAGCTTAGACCTGAAACACAGAACCGCTGCAGCAGGGACTGGCCTGGTTAGGCTGTTTAGCCTATTATTTTGCTGGCAGGGGAAACAAATTAGAGATTTTTAAATCTGCCGACTCATTTCCAATAAACTATCAATGATGACATTTTTCTAATAATTGATTTCGCTGCTCCTACTTGGCATACTGTTTCTAGATGCAAAATGGACATCTCCCTCCTTGTGGAGCCAAACATACAGAGATTTAAGTGCCAGAACAGGAAACCAGATAAACTCAAACACTAACCATGAACTGAGATCAAATCTCTTGGGAGAGCACCTGCAGCCTCTCAGACCACAAAACCCATTTGTTGCCCTCCTATAACTTGAACAGTTACAACTCCATCCAATTCATTTGGGTTTTGGGGGCTTTTGTGTGCAAGAGTGCTAATGCTGCCTAAGAGAGGAGAAATTGATCTCTCATGTTTATGACAGAACCAGACACTAGTGCAGCGCAGCATGCCAAGGAACTGGTCTGTGTTTAGCTCTTCAGTACCCTGCCGTGCAAAGCTCTTACCTAGCTCACATCAGGCTTTCGGATAGCTTTGAGGACAGATAACAGGTTGCTCCAATAGACAGTATCCAAAACACTGAATGAGCTCTAAAGAAACACACAATACAACCTTCAACCCTGCATAGGCTGATGAAGATGAAGAAACTAAGCAAAGAGCAACATGAAGTGTACACTATTAAACAGTCTGATAAAGCTAAGGCTGTTCTGCACAAGACTGCCAGAAACATCAACCCTTCATCAAGGAAAGAAGCAAACCCCATTCCTCACAGTCAAACTGCTTACAATTTACTAAACTCACAGTCTGAACAAATTAATAGGCAAAAACAGTCTATTTTATTCACTCAGCTGAGACCTGTGTATACTTGCCAGCATTTTTTTAATGCACTGGCAAGCACTGTTCAAAGGTGTGCTGTCAGAATTGAGAAGGAAGCTTCAATTACAACTGCCAGCCAAGGAGGCGTTAACAGCAGTGAGCCCAATCCAGAGGCATGCCGAGATTTCCAGCCCTAGTCTAGGCAAGGCCCGAGATAATGAGAGATTTAGGGTGACACATGAGCCGGATCCAAAGTCATCCGAGGCCAGAAGGGTACCTGTAATGGCAGTCCACAAGCTTCACATTACTCTCAAAAATCTGCCTGCATGTTGAAAGGGGACGTGCATGCAGGGGAGGTCATTACTTTATCCATCTGAACATTTCATGTCCAGCCTCTTCACACTTCTTCTAACACAGCATGACCTGCCCCTAACATAAAGGTTGTTTAGGGCAAGATCTAGGTCCTCATGTTGTAAGTCATTGTAGAAGTGGTCAGACTTGCTGTCAGCTCTCTAACAACCAACAGCCCTGACCAAACTGCCTGATGGGTAGGGAAGGATTGACTAACATACGGGAGAAATGGATACAACATTTTAGTCTGAGTTTTGCTGTTTAAGTATTACGAAAACCAGATATTTAAGTTGTAGCTCAGATTTAAGACTTCTACAGAACTTCAAATATGACTGGAGGACTAGCTCATTCAATCATAGGTGCTCTCGGCAATTGTCCCTCTAGGGAACGTCACATGAACTAGAGAAACATTTCCATCTCACAAGCACGCTGCTGTCTCACTTTTAGCACTGTATGTTACCAGCCAAGTGAAGCAAGGCCAAAACGTTCAACTTCATGGCATTTTTCTTCTTGAAACAGAAACTTTTGAAGCCATCTGATCAATTTCAAGGACTTCACAGGAATGTTGCAGGCAGTGTGAAAAAAAAATTCCATTTATGTTGGCAGCAATTTTTAAGAAAATGAAACAAGTGTGACTATGAAATACAGAGAAGATCACTCATGGTGACACAGTCATTACTCCGTCCCTCTCGTAACTTCCAGGCTTCAGTCCCACTAACTGACAGGGTTCAACAGAGAAAAAAGCAAAAGCTGGACTTTGCCAAGCCCGGGACTGCAGCACAAAGGCTTGTTGCACACAGCGAACTATGCTGCCATGATAAGGAAGACCCTGAATATGACAGTACTGCGGTTCCATCCTGCACCTGGTATAGTCCTTTGCTCTAGCGAAAGGTCACCACTACTGGAAGTTCTCAAGCATATCCAGCTGTAGCCCCTCTCCAGTCGCAAACCTTTTTTAAATCCAGTTCAGAATCCCACACAGAAGCAAACACTTGCACTTCTAATGCCTTTGCAAGATCTAATTTAGGAACTACTGATCTAAATGGTGGATTTGCATCATCAGGTATCAAGCAACAATACTTCTGTTTGTCTTCAACAGCACCCAGGTGGCATCAAGAGGAGCACGCAACGGAGATGCAACTGCTCAAAACATGCAGAGAAACAGTCTGCACTACTAAGCAGCAAAATGGACTCCAATGTATTTAACAGAGATGCTGGCACAAGCACCGGGGTGGAAACCACATCTCTGCCCTACCAGCACCGACTCAACACGTGCTTCTTTGCTTAACTCTCGTCTCCTTTGCTAAACACTGACTTATGAAGTATGTCTGCAACGGACAGAGAGATCTACTGGTCAGAACAACCCTCACACCTGGGAAGTCTCTGCTCCACCGCAGGCTTCCCATACAACCTTGAGCTTGTCACCTTGCCTCAGTTTCCCACCCTTCTCAAGAAGCTGTGCAGGGGGGTGGGGAAGGAGGCAGCTTTTCCCTTCCTCACAGATATCTGCAGACACATACATTGAAAATACCTTAAGCATAGCCTACACAGGCCTATATAAACTCACTGACAAATAACTACATTTTATTTACTCAGACCCAGCATCTCTCCGAAGTATTTTTCCAGGATTTGTCTAATGATCAAACCACCTCTTTGTACAGGCACAAACGTCCAGTCCTCATCCAACCTGCATTAAAAATTTTGATAGAAATAAATTAAGCAAAGGACAACACATGCACAAAAAGGCCAAATATAAGAGCTGAATCCACCCAAATCACAAGATGGTTTTAAAAATACAGCGGCCTCAAGATGTTATCATAACCCTGCACTGCTGAGTGAACGCATCACGGCCGCACTTCACCTCCTTTCGCTAAGCAAGCGTTTGTACTAGCGGGGACCCTCGCAAGAGGCCTCTGCCCTGCGACAGCCCCAGCACC